CGGCTTCAAAGCCGAGTGCGACAATGTCCATGCAGCCTCTCATCGCTACTTCCGAAACCAACTGGAGGGCATGAGTTGTTGTGTCCATTTGTGCGCCGCTCGCCCCTGCACACAACCAGATGATGACTGCCTTCACGTGATCGCCTCAGCAGTTGTACCTCGAACTGCCGAGTATGACTTGCAAGATGCTGCAGGCAAAGGCCCTTTAGCTCGTTGTGCAACAGCTGCATGGCTTTGTGGATATACCAGTGTCGGCCTATGCGGGAGCTGCTACCGGGGAGTCAAAAGAGCGGTGAAATGGAGCGCGCAGACCAAGGACCCGAAATCGGGCCGCGCCTTCTAGCGGCGCGTCAACACCGAGACATGAGAACTCCGAAACAGAGTCCGAGATTGATGACGAGACGCAATGTCAAGCGGAGTCAGTTGCTTTTCTCGTTCAAGGAAAGGCCACCCCACTGTCGCTGACTGCGTGCAAAGATGCAGCGAGAGGAGAGAAAGTGAAGTTGCTGAGTTCCGATGCCGAGATCAGCAGCGCTGAGGACCTCCGACATGAGGATGGCAACTCATATACTTCATTATGAGGGACAAGCCGCGAGACACACCTGCGTCGTGTAAGGATGCGACCGTGAGGTAAAGATCACCAAAGGAGGGCTCAGATTGTGTAAGGCCCACAGTTCCATGAGAGGCCCCGCCCCTCCAAGAGCAGATCCAACCAAGGGAACGAAGCGCCCAAAAGAAGTGTGTCAGCCGAAAGGACCCCAGAAGCGATCACCGAGGCGCGTTCCGCGCCCCGTGAGAGCTCTGAACTTCCCCCTGCCAAAGGCGCCGAGAAAGCTGCTCTTTTGGGAAAATACCTGAGGCTCGCTCTCGAGGGAAAAGGTCCCAGAGAAGCACTTGAAAACTGCACAACGCCCAGTTGTGGGCCACACGAGACCTGGGAAGAGCTTAAGGACCAAGCAACACAGTATGTCGCGAAGCTCCCCAAAGAATACCCTCAACTAGCCAAGAAGGCGATCATCGAACTGGTTACTGAGGATTGCCCCCCCAGTGGGCTCGAGTCCGAGGGTGAAGACCCTGTCTTGAGCATTCGGACCCCAGCAAGCCAGAGCCCCTTCTCAGGAGAGTTGGCAGGAACCCCCCAAGTTGCAACGCCAGCACACAATGTGGTTCCATCCCGGGCCACACCACAAGCCGGTTCTAATCTTCAAGCGTTTTTCAGACCCAAAGGATCTCAAGACCTCCCCACTGGGATGACAGCCAATCCCTCCGGCACCATACCAGATGCTGCTAGGATCTTTGCAGCAGCCTCTCGGCCTAGGCACATCGGAGCCTACAGTGACGCAGAGCCACCGCAACTTGACGAGACCTCAAAAGCTCTCCAGACGATTGCAAAGGCCATGGCAGCCAAAGACGAGGCAGCCGGACAAGATCGTGGCAAAGTTGCGGCTATTGGAAAAGTGGAGGAGAGACTCGTTCTCCTGGTCAGGGGATGTGACGCCTTCAATGTCTCGCTGGGGGCAGCAACTGTTGGGAAAGAACTTTTCCACGCCCTCCGAGCTACGTCCACTCAAGGGAGACCTCAGCTCAGAGCGATGCAGTTCCCTGTAAATATCAGCAACCGGATCGCTTATGGGTTAGCAGCAATGCGCATCGGTGGCAAAGACATCAAGTCATTGCCTGAGTACTGCATTTCGGCTGCGCTCACCGGAGAAGAGGAGTTCGACAACTGGGCCGGATGTGCCGACCTCAAGCTTGAGAAGAGACCAAAGGTTCCGGTCACCCTGAACGCTTGGTATCGAAATGCCTTGGGCAAGCCTAGGCAATTGCGTGTGTTTACGGCACCGAGCATTACTCTTCCTTTGAACAAGCGGCAACCTTCCTGTTGAAACTGGGAGAAGCGCATACTTACATGTGGCCGGCTCATGCCATCTTCAGTGTGTGGGAAGAACTCTGGTCAAGGTACACTGAAGAGATGAGAGACTTGGATCGCAACCTACGGCGGGCGATGAAAGAGGAAGCACCATCTTTCGAACGTATGCGGTTTTTTGCGACCACACCCGAAGAAGACGGTGAACCGTGGTTGAGACTCCCCATAACCTTTTACTTGGAAGACCCCAGCGAGTACTTCCAGACTGATGTACTGCCCCGGCACAACCGTATGCTGTCTCGAGCCTGCTGGCAAGTCGCATTGAAGAAAAGCCCCAACAACCCCCTCCATGGAGGAAAGGCCGGCGAGGGAACCGAGGCGTCGGAATCGCGCCTGGGGCCCAAAACCGGCAAGAATCAGGAACCCAAGGGGCTGATGGGACCCAATCTCACTGGGAGAGAAGCAGCTCGAGCACTTGACCACAGGCCCAAGGACAAGAAGGGTGCCAAATACCTCTGTTGGGACAATTTGTCCCACAGGGGGCGCAACAAGCCCACTGCGTGCCCACATTCCCACGCCACAGGGGTGAAATGGGAAGGAATGGATTGGGCCGCCCAATTCCAAATCCTTCGAAGAGGTGGACTGAAAAGCGGCCCCTCCTTGACGGAAGCCCAAGTTGTTGAGCAAATGGAAGCAATCCGCAAGACACAAGCTTCGAAAACCAAGGAGATGGTGGAAGAAGGGAAACGAGCCAAGAAAGTGGGAGACAATGAAAACTCCAAAAACCAGCAAAGCTCCCCAGATCAAAAGGTGGGACAAACGCCGCCAGATCAAACTGAGCCATCCCTCGAGGATGAAAGCTCTGAGGCTCCTCCTTTGGAACTGACCGGGATCAACCCCACCGACCAAGAGCAAGAGATGGCTGAGTTGCTAAAGGGCCCAGACTTCTCTCTTTATGAAGATGTCGACGCAGGGAAGGTAAAACGGACTGTGACCTTGGAACCCGGGAAATTCGACGAACAGGCAAAGCCTCGACTGGCTCACATGAGCTCAATTGACCAACAGGGACTCACCGAAGGATAGCAGGGAATTCTGGCGACATTTCTCAAAAACAGGTTGTTGAAGGAGGAATCGGGTCAGGAGATTCCGAGGCTTGCAAAGCGTTTAAAGTTTAAGGCGATCAAGAAGATGATCTGCGACCATATCGCCTTAGCGACGTTCGATGAGGCTTCCGCAGCAGACGGTTCTTGTCCTTTGGAGCAGATTGCGGATGCTTCCGGGATCGCAGTTGGAGGAACGGTGCTCCAAATGTCGCGGGATATGAGCAGAATGAAAGTCCTGTTGACTCACTCTCGGTCCCTTACCCCTGCTCGACGAGTATTTGGGCGAAGGAGTGGAAAACGACGAAGTAGTTGCGTGGGCGGTCGGAAACGACGCCGTGCCTGAGCAGAAGATCGGGGTTGCTGCGGCCGGCCAGGCGCGCATCCTGCTAGTCATGGACTATAGTAGGGCCACCAGTAGGCGAAGGCAGACGAGGTAGAGAGATGCCTTCACTCGTTGCGCAAAAGCATCTGAGGGGCGACTGTGATGTCTGCTAGCCTTGCCATGGTTCATGTTCTTACTGTTTCACTTGCATGTGTAGCTGTAGGAGCTGCGTAGGTGTACATAGTTCACCTCGTTTTTGGCTCAAGCCAATACTCTTGGCTCAAGGCCAATACTTTTGGCTCAAGTGGCACGTAGCTAGGCGTAGCGTGCTGTCTCACCCGCCGACGCGTCGCTCGTCCTTGTGAGCGTAAACAGCTGCGCGTGCGTTCGCTCGTTCGTACGTGCGCTCACATAGTAGTAACAGGTGCCACGCTAGTGGCAACAGGTGCCTTACTACTAGTAACAGGCGCCTTACTAGCAGTAACAAGGACGCTAGTAGTAACAGGTGCCATGCTAGTAGTAACAGGTGCCTTACTACTAGTAACAGGCGCCTTACTAGTAGCAACAAGGCCGCTAGTAGTAACAGGTGCCACGCTAGTAGTAACAGGTGCCTTACTACTAGTAACAGGTGCCTTACTAGTAGCAACAAGGCCGCTAGTAGTAACAGGTGCCTTACTAGTAGCAACAAGGCCGCTAGTAGTAACAGGTGCCACGCTAGTTGTAACAGGTGCCGTAGTAACAAGGACGCTAGTAGTAACAGGTGCCAGGCTAGTAGTAACAGGCGCCTTACTAGTAGTAACAAGGACGCTAGTAGTAACAGGTGCCACGCTAGTAGTAACAGGCGCCTTACTACTAGTAACAGGCGCCTTACTAGTAGTAGCAAGAACGCTAGTAGTAACAAGGACGCTAGTAGTAACAGGTGCCACGCTAGTAGTAACAGGTGCCTTACTACTAGTAACAGGTGCCTGACTAGTAGTAACAAGGACGCTAGTAGTAACAGGTGCCACGCTAGTAGTAACAGGTGCCACGCTAGTTGTAACAGGTGCCGTAGTAACAAGGACGCTAGTAGTAACAGGTGCCACGCTAGTAGTAACAGGTGCCTTACTACTAGTAACAGGTGCCACGCTAGTAGTAGCAAGAACGCTAGTAGTAACAAGGACGCTAGTAGCAACAGGTGCCACGCTAGTAGTAACAGGTGCCACGCTAGTAGTAACAGGTGCCTTACT